TCATATATATATATATATATATATATATATATATATATATATATATATTATTTCAGGATCAATTTCCAACTTATTCAAGATGATCTTCGCCCTCTCTGAGCTTCTAACTTTCTGTCTTGGAATAACAAGTTGTCTCACGATTTTATTTTCAAGATTTCTTTCGCCGCTCTTTGGACTGCCATAGCTGAAACGTCTTTCTCACGTGCCAAACGTCTTATGGATTGACTTTGACCTTTTTTAATTGATCTCCTTGAAATGATGATCCCTCTTTCTGTTGTGACCTCCTGATCCAGTTTTCCTCTCTACTGTTCCCACTTTTTAAAAAAACTTATTCATCGTTCTCATGATGGTCCTTGAATGGACTTTGAATATAGAATTCAGAGTATGAATGTTGGTACCATTACTGAAGGTCTGAATGATCTTATTTCCTCTCACCATTGCTCAGTTGGGCAGACAGGGAGACTGACACTAAACGATTTAGAATCTGTTCTCTTTCTAGATGAATAACTAAAATAGTTCTTCAGCGATTCTTACGACAAATTGTATCAGGATGGCGAAACGTCTTATCTGAAAACTTGGAAAAAAGAAATTCTATTAGTTTAGTGGGTTTTTTTTTCGATATTAAAAATTTTGTGGGATGGACAATTATGCTGTTACACGATTTGGGTAATTTTGCTTTTATGCCCGATATATATATAACTTAAGTAAAGGTTATTTATATTGATAGATCTGATAGAATTCTGATCATGAAAATCACTTAAAAATATAATTGATACCGCATGTGGATAGAAAATGAATTCAGTAAATATATAGAAATAGAAAAGGGCGTAAAACAAGGGTGTATCTTCTCGCCGGACTAATTCAACCAATACAGTGATTCTGAGAGAATTAGAAATCCTACAATTATTCACTACTGGCGGTGACAGTCTTAACATTAGATATGTTAGATACGTTGTAATAAATATGGCTACAAAGATGAGGACAATAGTCCGAATAATGTAAATAGTGTACATAATACCTCATCTCAGAAATATTGAGAGATACAAAATACATGGTTGTTAGCAAAACGATGAGCCCAAAATGCAAATTTTAAATAAGAGGTGCCAAAATCAGGCAAGTACAAAAATTGAAATATCTAGGAAGTGTTTTAACAGCGGACGGAAAGTGTGATACTGAAATCCGAGGATGCATTGGAATGGCCAAAGATGCATTCCAAAAGCTAAGCAGAGTATTAAGAGACAGGAAAACTTCGTCAGCAACAAAGAAAATAGTACTGAACTGTTACGTGATACATGTGGTCCTCTATGGCAGTAAATATTGGACAATCTCGTCAAAGATGAAGACTAGCAACAGAAACGTCGTTCTACAGAAGGATGCTGATGATACCATGGACGGAATATCGGGGCAATGACGAACTTTTAGAGAAAATGGAAACAAAATGGAAACATACTACTCAGCATCAGAAAGTGACAATTAACATTTCTAGGGCGTAGGAGGAAAGACGGCTTGGAAAATCAGATACTCACAGTGCATATCGAAGGAAAGAGGGACAGAGGAAATCAACGCATAACATACCTAGTCAGTTTGAGTAAATGGATGGTGGAACAGGGTTTGGGAGAAATAACGAAAATACAAAATATATTAGGAGCTACAAAAGACAAGGAACTGTGGAGAGCCATGATCACCTACGTCTTGAGGGGAGACGGCACATAAAGAAAAAATGAGTTTTGATCCGCACTGGGTGCCTCATATATGTGGACCAAACTTAGTAAATGTTAACAAAGCAACTCTGGTTTCGTTCTGGTTCTGGGAGCTTCCTTGATTGACGTACAGTTTTTTTTTTTTTGTTTTGTTTTTTTTTTGTTTGTTTGTTTTTTGCTTTAATCTTTTGTAAGATTGTGAACGTTTCAGAGAAATGAAAAACTCCCGGCCTCCTCCAAATTGTGATTGCTTTTCTTGGAAATGAGTGCAGTGTTCAATTTTTGAATGACCTGTTTGTGTTTAAAGGATTCAAAATGGTGGATTGACAGCAGTTAAACCTGTTTGGGAATTGGCTTCCACCACTTGCCAACTTAATTCGTAAGGATTCAGCTTTAATGATCACCCGTTTACCACTCTGTCTTTTATTCATCCCGTTGGAAAATGATGATCCCGGCACAGAAACCTTCGAAAAGGATCACCTAAAAATTTACTTGAACTCTGGCCAAATTTGAATTCATGAAGCAAACATGTCTTTAAATTTATTTAAAACGATCAAACATTTTTTTTGCCGTTGTGAAAATTATGAAGAAAACCAAAAGGAAATTAGCATTTGAACAACTGAGAGAAATTTGTATTCGTTATAAACTATTATCCTTGGTAAAGGCATGGACTCTTTTCGCTCCAGCTATGAGAAAATACCAAGCAAAAAAGGATAGTTTAACATTGGTTAGAAACCAGAAGGACAACTCATGAATCAGAACTTGAGGTGTGTTGTTTAGAGAATTCGTGACATACTGTGCAAAATTTCTCTGTCATCAGTTCTTCCGTAAAATGTAATTGGTTCTGCACAAGTTTCCGCCACTATAATCAAATCATATGTGTAGTTTAGTATATGTAGTTTAGTTTAGAATATTAGGTAGTTTAGTGACTGAGCTATAAAAACGGAATTGTTAGACCTTCCTCCATCGCAACTAATATATATATATATAGTCTTAAGATGTGCTATATTTATGGGATAAAGTGCTCAATATCAGAGATAGAGCGTGTGTAAATATAAAAATGAACATAGAAGTCAACACAGGCGACAGTCTGTTTCATGCTAGATGCAATCGTCAGGCAACTTTATATATATATATATATATATATATATATATATATATAGGGAGAGAGAGAGAGAACCTAAAGAAAATTATTGGTAGTAACCACATTTCAGGGGATAAGGTAATCCGTAATAAATCAAAAACAAAAACAGGATTTTCCCAACCATGTAACAACAAAAGAAGCGTATGCTGCAACCACATTGGACGCACGAATTCATTCACTAACTCAATCACTAAATCTATTTTCAAAATCTACCACGACTCTAACTGTAGAAGTCATAACACAATTTACCTCCTAGAATGCATACTATGCCAGAAACAATATGTAGGAAAATCTGAATGGCCCTTTTACTACAGAGTTGATAATTATCACAATTCTAATCAAGTCGACTCCCCATGAAAAATTATTACCTGTCGAACAACATTTCCGCCGACAAAAACACGATTTTAAAACCCATGCCAAATTCACTATAATTGAGAAAATAGAAAAATTCATAGCAGATAACAGTAGAATGATTTTAGAAGGCCATGAAGATAAGTGGATTCTGCGCCTTAAAACGCTCTATCCAGACGGGCTTAATCACAAATTTAACAACATAAATAAAATTTATATATATAACCCCACATTCCTCACCCACACAAGACAGACATGTTTGCAGAGGTGTTGAAGCCTCACACCTTTACACACCCCCATACTAATATACACACTTACACACCTCATACTCCCTCCCTCCCTAAGAACCAAATAACACACATCCTTAACAGAGATACATCAACTTTCCAGGAACTAAAAAACTGTCAAAATGGTTTCCGGTTTTTCCTAAACTCTACTTCAACTCTATACTTCTAGTATATCTGTTTTAACTCTTAGATTTTATTTAATATTTTTCTCCTCAATAGGAGTAGATAGGTTCGCCTATTGTCCGGTTCACATTCCTTCCTCCCTTTTAAATACAAAGAAACATCTGGTTAGATTCGTCGGAGGTGTATGTTTATAAACAGTAATTCGGACTTTGCTAACCAGACGCTTCTTTGTGGCTGAATGGTTTACAGCACATCAGATCAAATAATGGTTCCCAATGGGGTTACAGGTTCGATTCCTGTTAGAGAAACACATATTTTCGACAAAATTTCTCGAACATTCAGGCTGGCAAATGTAATTGATACTGTTTAAAAACAAAACAGAGAATTTACTTAAATGAATTGTATCTATAAAAATAACGTATACACGGAAAATATGTTTTAAAAATATTGTCGAACTTAATCCATTTAATTATATATATATATATATATATATATATATATATATATATATAACAAAGAGAAAGAACAGTAAATTATATAATTCAGTGTTGTTGTTATTAATTATTTCTGTTTTTACAAAACAGTGATCAATGCAAATCTACAGAGCATAAATATTATAGATTTACTAATTTTAAAATATGGTTCCATCGCTACACAGGAATTACCAGGTTTCAAAAACAAAATTTACAAACATCAAATTCAATTAAAGAATTAAATTATAGTCTCTAGTTTTCAAGCGAATTTTGATTCCAAAATTTACTTGAAAACTAGGGACTTTAATTTTATTCTATAATTGAATTTGAAGTTTTTAGTTTCTGTTTTGGAACCTGGTAATTCCTGTGTAACGATGGAACCCTATTTTTAAACTAATAAACTTATAATATATATATATATATATATATATATATATATATATATATATATATAAAGAACGAGCGAATAGGTAAATGTCGACAGAGGCATGACGGGAGAAAATTAAAATAGAAAGCGAGTGTGAAAGAGGACAAAATCAGGTCCAACGCAAAAGAACAAGAAAAAAAAAAAAGAAGAGGAGGGATATGAAAAGTGATTAGGTCACTGAAACCGAATCACATCAGTTAATCGCATGTCCTTCCGACTTGGCTGTGACTTCCCATTGTTTTACTTTCATTAAGGCACTATTTGAACTGATGGACCAATCGTCCAAATGTTTGGTTAATTATCAATGCCAAGAACGTTTACCACTCTGGTTCTGTATAGAAGCCTGTCGCTGAGATGGAATAGTCAGCAATTCGGACCCCCCTCCCCCGCACCTATTGAAAAGCAGGTGGCTGAAATCGATATCAGAGTGAAGTTTGGGTAGGGGTGGAGGTGATTCGACTGCCTCGTTTCGTCGCTTCTTCTGTCCGACTGATTCTACGACTGATTGTTTTGTCGGTGATGTATGTTTGGGTTTCGACAGAGATGAAAAAATAACGCTGCCTTGGGACTCCCAAATAAAATGGAGAGGAGGAAAATGTAAGGGGGAAGAGAAAGTGGTAAAGAGAGGGTGAAAGTGTGAGGGAGAAAGGGAGAGTGAACGAGAGTGGGGAAAGAGAGGTGGAAGAGAGTGGGGAAAAGACAAGGGAAAAAAAGGAAGTGGAAAAAAGTGGGGGAAAGATGGAGTGCGAAAAAGAGTGGAAAAAGAGAGAGTGGGAAGAGAGTATGGAAAGAGAGAGGGAGAAGACAAAGAAAAGAAAGAGAGGGGAAGAGAGTGGGGGAAAGAGGGAGTGCGAAAGAGAGTGGGGAAAGAGAGAGGGAGAAGACAAAGAAAAGAAAGAGAGGGGAAGAGAGTGGGGGAAAGAGAGAATGATTAGAGAGTGGGGAAAGAAAGAGGGAGAAAGAGAGAGAAAGACAAGGGAAAAAGTGAGGGAAAACAGGGGAAAGAGGGAATGAGAAAGAGAGTGTGAAAAGAGAGAGTGGGAAGAGAGTGGAGGGAAAGAGGATGGGGGAAAGAAAGGAGAAGAAAGAGAGAGGTATTATGAAAGAAAGTGAGAGAATATGACGAAGAGAAGAGGATATACTCGAGGAAAAAAATATTTATGAGAGAGTGAAGGAAAGAAAAGACAAACTTGAAAAGCAAGAATAAAAAGGAAAGAATGTAAAAGAATGAAAGTGAAGAAGAATCAAAAATAATCAGAAGAAAAACGGAAAGAAGAAATGCGGAAAATAAACTGGAAAAAAAAACAGCAAAACCGAAAAAAACATTTAAGAAAAAAAAAAAGGATTTAATTAAAAAAAAAACGTGGTTGATAAAAAACAATACTACAAAAGAAAATCTAATTTTTGCTCAGAGACATGAATTGAAAGTCAGAACATCTTTTGGTACCACCATACAGCGCTGGTTCTCAAACGAAGCAACACGCCTGATAGCACCTACGAGTCGCCTGATAGCATCTACGAGGCGCCTAATAGCACCTATGAAGCGCCTGATAGAACCTACGAGGCGCCTGATAGCACCTATGAGGCGCATGGTAGCACCTGTGAGGTTCCTGATAGCACATACGAGGCGCCTGATAGCACCTACGAGGCGCCTGATAGCACCTACGAGGCGCCTGATAGCACCAGTGAGGCGACTGATAGCATATATGAAGCGCCTGATAGAACCTACGAGGCACCTGATAGCACAAACGAGGCTCCTGATAACACCTATGAGGCGCCTGATATCACCCATGAGGCTCCCGATAGCACCTACGAAGCGCCTCATAGCACCTATGAGGCTCCTGATAGCACCTATGAGGCGCCTCATAGCACCTATGAGGCGGAAGAGGATAGCAGGCAAGGCGGAATGATTGTAAGACAAAGATTTACAAATAGTTTCAAAAAATTCATATGCCAAAAATAAAAATATTTTCAAAATTTAAAATATTATTATAGATTTCTTGTAATTGCATGTATGAGTCCCACTATAAACAGTTATAAATAATTAATGACCGATTTTATCACTGTGACATATTTGTATTATATCACATACTAAGAATATAGTTACCCAAATTGGAGGAGAGAGTTATCAATGATAATGTCATGACTTCAAATCCACGGTTATCTTCCTTTAACCCTTTCTCTGTTTTTTTTTTTTTATATATACGTTTTATCACATAAATTTTGGTGAAAAAAAATTTTTTCTAATTTTTTTTTTAAATTTTTAAATTTTTTTCTGAAAATTCGGCCCATAGGGAAAATTTGGAACCATTGCCATACAGTGTGGCACTCAAACAGCATTGGCTGCAATACAGTATTTCTTCGTTTATCCGTACCTGGATTTTCAAGATTTCGATTATTTCGACGGGGAATAAAGAGAAAAACTGAAATCATTCGCATATTTTTCAATTGTCCAAATGGAGTCAATTCTAATATTTGATCGCGAACAAACGTTTTGAGAATTTAGAAAAGCACATCCAACGTTCAAAATGTCGATTTAAAATACTAAAGCAATGATTATCTTTGATAAGTATTTAAGTTGACCGAGCTTTCAACCGGAAGCTACCCTTACAAATAAATCTACCTAAACCCAGGATGTTAACGGCTGAAAAAGAGCTAGGCCAGCCGGAAACAGAAAATTATCGACGCATTTTTTTTTTTTTTTTTTCATAAAAAATAAACTGGACAAAACCTTGAACAAAACCTTCCGACAATTTATTTGAAGATACAAACGTTAAATTTCTTTCTTTCGGGATTTTTTCTTCATTTATTTTTCAATAACTGAGGTATTCTTTTATCCGGAATGTTGAATTATTCTAGCATATATTTTTCGTCTCGTCCCAAGCTGTCCTGATAATCGAAGAGATGTATACATTTGAGGAAGACATGACTATCTTGCCAGAAAGGCGAAAACGATTGCACTCTTCCGAATAACCTAAGGCAATGCTACTCAAGTTGTGATCCTCGGACCGGTAGCGGTACGCGAACCCTAGGCCACCGGTACGCGGTCAGTGTACAGGACATTCAAAGGAAACATTAAGGTTGTATAATTTTTGTTTTTGTGTTAATAAATTGCTTATTTTTTTAATTGCTTTTTACATGTTTTCAATTGATATTAAATGGAAGACAACAAAAATACTTAACTTTTTATTATATTCATTATATACATCATTTCCGGTATAAATTAATATTACCACGAAATATTACAGGTACGTGACACATTGAGATGGAGTATTGCTGCCATATATGGTCTGGAGCCCCTTCTGTTTGTCTCAAGGTCCTTGATAAGATCCAGAGACGGATATGCAATGTAATTGGCCCTGATCTGGCATCTTGTCCGCAGTCGCTCTCTCACAGACGTACCGTCGCCTCTCTCTGTCTTTTTTACAAATATTTTCACGGTAACTGCTCCGATGAACTGCTTTCGCTGGTTCCCAGACTTCATGAATTTAAGCGTTCAACTAGGCTGGCATCTCGCTCTCATCCTTTCACTGTCGAAACAGTTAAATGTAGCCGTCTCTTCTACTCCAATAGCTTCATGTCTCGCACTTCTCGCCTGTGGAATCTCCCTCCCCTTTTCTTGTTTCCCTGATAGCTATAATCTCCAACTATTCAAATGTAATTGACGTCTCCAGATGCCTTGATCTATCCCCTATCCTTCTCTTCGTCCTTTCCTCTATCACTTCTATTTGGTCTCGCTCCAACTCTCTGTAACCCCTTGCGTGCTAGTAGCTTCCCGCCTTGCTTGGGGTGAAACGCTTAAAAAAAATAGCGGTCAGTCTGCCATATCAGATAGTTTGAGAAGCACTAATCTAAGATACAATGAAACTACATCGCTTTAGAAGATAGAAAAGTAGAGAAACGTGTAACGAAAACGAACTATGTGAATACAAAACAAAACTGAAATTACCGTATTCGATTCCTCTTCTTCTATGTGCCGTGTCCCTTCAGGAGGTTGGAGATCATGGCTCTCCACTATTTCCTCTCTTTTGTAGCGTTTAGTAAATGTTGTCTTTTTGGCATCTGTTGTTAACTGAGTTATCAAAAACAACAGTAGAAAACCGGAATAGATTTAACAAGTTTATTACCTTTTGGTACAGGGAAACATATCTATGGAAGGGAATGTTCAGCCGTGAATGACTAACTGTTTTCAGCAAAGGCTGCTACTGCTACTCCTCTTGATGTGGGAGTATTTTTATGTCTTTCGTCCGACGGCCGAGTCCAAACTTATAGAAAAACATTCCCCCCTCACGACAGTATCTCACCTAAAGCTTGTTCAATCACGCTAGATAGATAATGTATTGTTTTCCTCGGTACCTCTTACCTTTCAATATGCCCTCTGAGCGTCAAATTTTCTAACCCCTCTTGCCTTTCCTCGTTATGTGCCCGAGAAATTTCAACCCTTTCTTTCTGTGTCCTTTTTGTCTCCATTTTCTCTAAAACTTCGTTATTGCTCACTTGATGGTATTCTCAGCATCCTTCTGAAGAAACACATTTCTGTTGCTTCAAGTCTCTTCTCCACCTCTGAGGAGATTGTCTAGCATTCACTACTATAGATGAGGACTGATATTACATAACTGTTCAGTAGTCTTTTCTTAGTTACTAACGATTTGCTTTTATTTCTTAATAATTAATACTATCCCAGCGCGCCATCGGATTTCTGTGTCGCACTTTCCGTTCCTCTGTTAAAACAATTTCTCGATATTTAAATTGTACTTGTTTGATTTTGATATCTCCATTTTCTAATTTACATGTTGGCTTGTTCCTTTCCTAACAAGCATCCATTCCGTCTTCTTACAATTGAGGTTCAGTCCTTTATTACATTATCGTAAAGTGTTTCTGTCGAAAAGCAACTAATTACACACAAAAAATCGAAAAATAAGAGTTCAGTCGAGGACTAGAAATGTGCACAACAGGCAGGATGCTGCATTTAAAACATATAAACATCAAAGCCACAAGCCCTGCTTACAGTGGGATGGCTGGAAGGAATTAATATAAATTGACTTTACAACTTTAAGTTGAAAATAAGCGTGAGTCTTCCCAAGTAATGAAAACAGATCTTGTTTATAGAATCTGGTACAGTGAGAGGTGTTTAATAAATGCTTAACAATCGCCGGTCCAGATGTATTAACATAAAGAGGTGTTTAATAAATGCTTAGCAATCACTAATCCAGATGTATTGACATTGAGATGTGTTTAATAAATGTTTAGCAATCGCTAATCCAGATGTATTGACATTGAGATGTGTTTAATAAATGTTTAGCAATCGCCGATCCATATGTATTAACATTGAGATGTGTTTAATAAATGTTTAGCAATCGCTAATTCAGATGTATTGATATTGAGATGTGTTTAATAAATGCTTAGCAATCGCCGATCCCGATGTATTAACATTGAGATGTGTTTAATAAATGTTTAGCAATCTCTAATCCAGATGTATTGACATTGAGATGTGTTTAATAAATGCTTAGCAATCGCCGATCCCGATGTATTAACACATCTCTCCAAATTGTATATAAATGTCCTTCTGAACATTAGTTGGTATTTGTTGATTAATCCTTTCTTTCCCATCCTTACTTAATTGTTCTTCATAATTTATTAGCATTAAATTGTCATTTATTCCACTTTTATCATGCAGCACTTTTCGGCGGACTTAACAAACTCATCGGCCGTACTCGAGGTTATAGAATTCACAAAACTGCGTCGAGTCAACTCCCTAAACTTTTCTATATCTGTATAGTTGCAGGTACGGTGGGTTAATGGATAGCGGCTCGGATTGAGGAATCGGAGAGCCGGGTTCGAATTCCGGTTGTGTTTATTACATTCACTTACGTGCTAATACCGTAGGGAAAGATTGGGTCTCATAGCCTTGGATGGCAACCGGTCTACCACAGCTATTGCGACTGAACCTGCTGTTGATGAGTGAAGAGGGATCGAGATTACCACCAGGGTTTTCGGAGATTGGCTGAGTAAACACCGTGTTAGGACAACAATTGACATTAGTGGGCAAGTGTGTCGAAGAAAAGAAGTTTTCTGAAGGTGACAATTTCGATGGGCAAAAGGTAGGGGGTCAATCGGACTGGATAGATAATTTATTGAGCGATGCTTAAAGCTGTGAATCTTGACATATTGGGAGGGGATCGATAACTGTAAACGGCTTTTGGAATAAGAGAATAGTGCGTTAAGATGTTTGTCTATCGGTAGACAAAGAGATGAAAGGAAATGAGACAGATATGCCCAGAGAATAGATAGATAGATACGAATAGGCTGAGATAGATAGATAGATAGATAGATAGATAGATAGATAGATAGATAGATAGATGCGAATAGGCTGAGATAGATAGATAGATAGATAGATAGATGCGAATAGGCTGAGATAGATAGATAGATAGATAGATAGATAGATAGATAATGAACAGGCTCAGATAGATAGATAGATAGATAGATAGATAGATAGATAGATAGATAGATAGATGCGAATAGGCTGAGATAGATAGATAGATAGATAGATAGATAGATAGATAGATAGATAGATAGATGCGAATAGGCTGAGATAGATAGATAGATAGATAGATAGATAATGAACAGGCTCAGATAGATAGATAGATAGATAGATAGATAGATAGATAGATAGATAGATAGATAGATGCGAATAGGCTGAGATAGATAGATAGATAGATAGATAGATAGATAGATAGATAGATGCGAATAGGCTGAGATAGATAGATAGATAGATGCGAATAGGCTGAGATAGATAGATAGATAGATAGATAGACAGATAGATAGATAGATAGATAGATAGATGCGAATAGGCTGAGATAGATAGATAGATAGATGCGAATAGGCTGAGATAGATAGATGCGAATAGTCTGAGATAGATAGATAGATAGATAGATAGATAGATAGATGCGAATAGGCTGAGATAGATAGATAGATAGATAGATGCGAATAGGCTGAGATAGATAGATGCGAATAGTCTGAGATAGATAGATAGATAGATAGATAGATGGATAGATAGATAGATGCGAATAGTCTGAGATAGATAGATGGAGATAGATAGATAGATAGATATGAATAGTCTGAGATAGATAGATAGATAGGATAGATAGATAGATGCGAATAGGCTGAGATAGATGGAGATAGATAGATAGATAGATAGATAGATGCGAATAGGCTGAGATAGATAGATGCGAATAGTCTGAGATAGATAGATAGATAGATAGATAGATAGATGCGAATAGGCTGAGATAGATAGATAGATAGATAGATAGATGCGAATAGGCTGAGATAGATAGATGCGAATAGTCTGAGATAGATAGATAGATAGATAGATAGATAGATAGATAGATGCGAATAGTCTGAGATAGATAGATAGATAGATAGATACGAATAGTCTGAGATAGATAGATAGATAGATAGATACGAATAGGCTGAGATAGATAGATACGAATAGTCTGAGATAGATAGATAGATAGATAGATAGATAGATAGATAGATAGATAGATAGATACGAATAGGCTGAGATAGATAGATACAAATAGTCTGAGATAGATAGATAGATACAAATAGGCTGAGATAGATAGATAGATAGATAGATAGATAGATAGATAGATAGATAGATAGATAGATAGATACGAATAGGCTGAAATAGATAGATAGATAGATAGATAGATAGATAGATAGATAGATAGATAGATAGATATGAATAGTCTGAGATAGGAAGAAAAAAATTGAGAAAGTAAGAAACTGATAGATTGATAGATAGATACATTGACAGACGGGAATGAAAAAACAGATTGAAAAAGAAAGTAATAGATAGATAGATAGATAGATAGATAGATAGATAGATAGATAGATAAAAGAAAAACGAAACGGAAAATTAATCAAGAAACAAATCGGGATCAAGTTAGAAAGTTGAATTTGAAGGAAGAGAACGTAAACGAAAAGGCGGGAAATAAGAAAGTGAAAAAGAAAGAAAGAGATATTTTTAATATCTTTTAACATGGAGAGAAATATTTCAAGTAATTTTTCACGGGGAAAGAAAGAAAAAAAATCGTCGGATTTGGAGGGAATAAAAAAAGAAAAAGAAACATGAGAAAAAACAAAATGAAAAAAGGACAGAGAAGAAAATAAATGGAAAATAAATAAATAAATAAATAAATAAATAAATAAAGAAAGAAAGAAAGAAAGAAAGAAATAAATTTGAATGTACAAAGAAGAGAAAGAAATAAAGCATAAAAGTAAGAACGAAGAAAACAAAAAAATGACAAAGAAAAAAAATGAAAAGCAAAAGAAAAGAAGAAAAATAAAATAAAATAAAATAAATAAAGTATGGAAGGAAAGAAAGAAAATTCAGTATAAAAATGGAACTACAAAAACATTCTAGAATAAGATGTAAGGGATATAGAAAAAAAAAAGAAATGAATATTCGCTTTAAAATTTGTTGAAAGTAAAAAAAAAAAGAAAAAAAACCTGAATAAATGAAAGAAAAGATACTTTAATGAAAAAGAAAGTGAAATCCCGAACTGATAAAAAGAAAGCGTTACTTTGCAAGAAGATGGACAGCGTAAATTGGCAGTCGAAATTAACCGAATGTTTACGATCGGCCATTACTGACAAACTGTCGTGAAATTGGCGCCAGTTTTTAGCCAATCAACTGTCTGCATTATTTAGTAAGGATCAGGAAGAGGCTTGTAATGGAAGAAAGTTAACAGCGAGTTAAAAGGCGTAAAGATATTTTTAAAAAATGGGGGCAAGTATCCTGGACGTAAGGACAATGGAATTGGAAAGTATGCCCTGATCTAAATGTTCTTAGTATAGTCTGCCTGTTCCAAATTTAAAACAAAAGAATATGTCACGAAGCAAAGGAACGCTGTAACGTGATAAAATGGACGAACGAATGACTCAAATAAAGATGTTTTGGGTTTTTTTTTTTTCAAATTTCATACTTTTATTCGAATTAAATTAATTTTTTTGTTTTGTTATTTTTAAGGAAAAATCTCTAAATACTTTAATCCAGACTTTAATAACGTAGACTAAATCTTGAAATACATTTGATTTCTAATTTTGACAAGTGTAATTATTAGTCAATTTATATGCCGGGAATAATTAATTTTAGGCAAAAAAAATGTCCTTTGATTTCGACGGGTCTAGCCTTCACGGCCAGGCCCGACCATGCCACTTACATAGTAGCAAACCACGAAGATTCCCTCCGTATTCAATGGTCGTGAAGTTCCACTCAGACAGCTTCTTCTTGCAACCATTGGAGCAGACTCCGAAGAGGATGTTTCCTCGATCGCTATAAGCCTCTTCATGTCTAGGGTTAATCGCTATCTTCCCCTCCTTTTCATATAAATTACCCTTTAATGTAACCTCGTGTGGAAACTGGGCCTTGTACAGGATGAAAAAAGTAGAAAAAAGTTCTTAGCAATATGCTTGCACGAATTTGCTGTAAATGTTCGCATCATACTTTATGCGTAATTTGAATTTAAGCCATGAAGTATCAGTTTTTTTTTTGTTTTACGGCATATCAACACATCAATGGGTTATTTTATTTTGTCACGAGTCAAATGTATTGCTAGTAATATTTTTATTTATTTATTTTTTTTTCAGAAATGTATTGCTGGTAATTTTTTTTTTCAAAAATGTATATCAAAATTAACGTCTATATATACCTCCTTGCAGGTATTGAACGATCATTTCCTTTTTCTGAGAAATTATTAATTGCTCACACACACACACACATATATATATATATATACATATATATATATATGTATATGTATGTATATATATATGCGTGTATATTTGCCCGTATAAGTTATATTTTAATAAGTGGTTAGAATTCGTTTAATAAAACTTTCAATCTTAAATATTTCTTGGTTGCTGTATCGGAGTGTCTATGTCAATGTATGTGGGTGTCTGTACGTGTCTTTATCAGTGTCTATGTGTATGGCAACTTGGATACACCTTTCATTGTATATATATGTTTTTTGGGGTTTTTTTTTTAAAGACCATGGAGATATTTCCTGTCTCCTCACTTTTTTACTTGTGTATATATCTAAATACATCTGCGTGTTTATGTATTATAATCTGATTGCGTATGTATTATCTTTTGTAAGATGTCATCCTCCCCTGCTCTATGCTTAGAATTCAAATGTATCCATGTTGTCATGAAGTTAAGAGCAGTCAATCTTAACGTTTATTCCAACTTAATTTCAATAAAAACAAAATAAATAGAATAACGTATGTATTTTTTCTTCTTTCCTCAGTAATTTTATAATTTTAATCTTAATAGAGATTAAATTTAGATTTTAAAATGGGTAATTTTTAATTTCAAATTTTATCGTATAATTTAATACTTATTAGTTAGAATAAATTCTATTTTAGTCTAACCCCAACATTAAAGCATTAAATAGTTATTATAAACTTACTTCGTTGTCAATTTTTTTTAAAATTCTCGTATCTTGTATTTTGATTGGTCATTTCAGCTCATGTGACAGCATTTCCCCTTACGAGGGGTGGTGAATTAATTTGAACCTTTTAAAACCTTTATTCTACAATCTCCATTCAACATCATCACTTAATAAGACACCAGAAGTGTTGAAAGAAAATGGCTGTTTTTGTAGAGATTTTATAACATATAATATATATGTATATTTATATACATACTATGTTGTAATTTTCAAATAAATAATCATATATATATATATATATATATATATATATATATATTAGGGACCTAAACTACTTCGCGACACCTAAGTTTTAAAATTAATTATCAAAAATGAAAAAGCTTTCTTGAAGCTTTTATTTTAGCTCTACTTGAAGGCTAACGGATTAAAGTTACTATTTGCAGTATGCGAAATACTCTGGTGTTTTTCAAACAGAAATTAGATTGACTGGATTCGTTTCTTTTGTTTGCTAAAATAGCTGATTAGCACCCTTTTTTAATCGTCTCTCATTGCAATTTAATCTCTATTAAAAAAAATCTTACAAAAATAAAAATTCTTTTCTGAAACATTATGTGAGGAATATTGGCTAATTTACAGTATAATTAATATATTTGAAACAAATATTATTTACTTTAAGTTTAAAATAACACAGAAATGCATTTTAAAACAGTAACTGTTTTATTTCAACCGACAGTCGCCATGTTTACATGATTGACGAGTGTCGTGAGGTGATGACAACTTTATTGTTCTTCTATAGATACTTTATCTGTAAAACATAATTTAAGAAAATGACGTGAGCACCTTTTTTTATATAATTTTTAAGTACTTTTTCTAAGATTTTTTAAAGTATTTTTCTAAGATTTTCTTTAAAAAAAATTTCAAAACTAATTTCATTCCTTTGTGAATAAGTTCTGAAAATTTCATTAAAATCCGACAAATATTTGATTTTTTCAAGAATTTACAAAAAGTATGAAAAAGTTGTTAAAACAGCTATAGTAAATATTAGGCCGAAAAATGTGCTAGAATGAATTAAGAAATTTAATTAAATAACAAAAAAATACTTTGGCCTTTCATCTTAATAATAACGTAAACATTTTGAGGATAAAACTTGTTTTTTTATTAAATTTGGGGCCTTTTTTCATCAGGCTATGCTGTGTTTAATTTAATTTAATTAAATGACAAAAATACTTTGGCCTTTCATCTTAATACTATCGTAAACATTTTGAGGATAAAACTTGTTTTTTTATTAAATTTGGGGCCTTTTTCATATGTTTTCAGCGAATTAGTGGAGGCACCTAATATATATATATATATATATATATATATATATATATATATAAATATATATATATATATATATAATTTATTTGAAAATTATAACAAATATGTTATAAAATCACTACAAAAATATCCATTTTGTTTGAACACTTCTGGTATCTTATCAAGTGATGATGTTGAATGAGGAATAAAGGGTTTAAAAGGTTCAAATTGACCAAATACCCCTCGAAAGGGGAAACGCTGTTACATAAGCTGCAATGGCCAATCAAGATCCAAGTATATGAGAAATCAAAAAACTTAACAACGAACCTTGTTTAAAATTATTAATGCCTTAATGTCAGTGTTAGACTAAAACAGAAATCATTCTAATTTGTTCTACTCTGTATTGAGCACTCTTTTAAGAATAGTATTTTTTTCTGGTTATTGGGATTTATTCCGTATACACAAATCCTCTACTATATATATATATATATATATGTGTGTGTGTATATATATATATATATATATATATATATATATATATATATATATATATATATATATATATATATATAGTGTATATATAAGTGCTGGGGATCGAAAATTAACCTGGCCGCTGCTCTTGAAAAGGACCTCCCATCAGTGGTTAACTGGGGCTGGAAATGGCTTGTAAATTTTAATGCTTCCCAAACTAAACCGTTCCCTGACCACCATCAGAATGGCTGATGAGAGCGCCTCAACTACATTGAATCAATAGCTGTATCTACTGCAAGGAAAGTTGATTCACTGTGACGTGCCAGGAGATTTTTATCGTCATAGTCCATCTTACACGCCTACAAATCTACCATTCGTCCGTGCATTGAATATTGTTTCCATATCAGGTCCGGTGCCCCTGCTGTTCATCTCGAGCTTCTCGACAAAATCTAAAGAAGGGTCTTCAATGTAATCGGCCGACTTTGTATTTTGATTTCAGTCACTTTCTCCCAGACGTGATGTGGCTTCCCTCTGTCTACAAATATTTTCATGGCAACTGCTCTAACGTGCTTTTTTCCCTGGTGCCCTGACTACATGAATTTAAGCGATCTACTAGATTGGCATCTAGGTCCCACAATTTTTACTGCTGAAATATTTGAATGTCACCTTCACTTCTACTCTTCTACTTATTTATTTATTCTACTTATTTCTTTTCTTGCACTTCCCGACAGTGGAACTCCCTTCCTCTTAGTCGCTTCCCTGATAACTACAATCTTCAAAAATTTAAATGCAACGTCAATCGCCATCTTCTGTTGCCTTGATCCCCGTTCTTCTTTTATCCTTTCCTCACCCCCCCAAGCCCAGTCTTTTCTCTCACTTCCATTCTCTGTAAACCCCTACGTGCTAGTGACACTCTCGCCTTACTTGGGGTGAAATGCTTAAAAAAAAACCTAAAGCTCTGATATAAATTAATAAAGTTATATCGTTGTTCCATGCCGCACGATGGTATTTAAAGTCTTATGCGCGAGGCAATCATCGGGCATGAATAAAGAAATTTATGCTTCATGATTTCATGGCGTATGAAACTTTAAGTAATTCTGTTTTGTATGGAACAACGATATAATTTTTTAAATGTCTATCTCCACCCATCCGTATATATATATATATATATATATATATATATATATATATAGTGAGGGAAAAAAATATTCGTACACATACAAATTTTATTGTATTTCCAACTATAAGCATATTTTTCATATAATTAACTGAACACACATAATAAATAAATATACATAGAAAATAGAAAAAAAATTGATTTAATACAAGATAAATCCCATCTATTTATTTTAATGGGTGAAAAGAGTATTCGTCCAATACAAAAAAATAATCTTCATTTAATACTTTGTGGAATAGCCATTATTCACTTCTACAGAACCCAACCTCATCTTGTACTTCTCAATTAATCATTTGCAAATTTTAGTCGGTATTTTGTTCAATTTTTCTTCGTATATGGTCTTCAGATCCTGTATGTTTGTTGGCGCTCTCGATTGGATTTGAATTTTCAAATAACGCCACAGATTCTTAATTGGGTCTAAATCTGGGGACTGACTTGGCCATTTCAGGATATTTACATTATTTTCAGCCAGCCATTTCTTCATAGATTTTGCAGTGTTCTTAGGATCATTATCTTGTTGGAAGATCCAATCAGGAGGAAGTTCAAGATTTTCAACCAAAATCATTAAATTTGCTTGTAAAATATTTTGACATGCTTCTGAATTCATTCTACCATCTATTACTGATATGTTGCCAGTACCTTTTGCAGAAAAAACATCCCCAAACCATAGTGTTGCTACCACTAAGTTTCACTATTGGAACTATGTTCTTTTGTTTGAAGGCATCACCATCTTTTCCTCCGTACATGATTTCTAGAATTACGCCCAAACAACTCAATTTTCGTTTCGTCTGTCCATAATACTCTTTCCCTATATAATTTTTCATTATCGTTATGTTCACGAACAAATTTCAACCTGGCATCTCTGTGTCTTTTCAATAGAAGTGGAGTTTTTCGAGGAGAGCGTGACTTTAGATTGTTCCTATGAATTTCATTGCTTATTGTTCGTTTAGTGACACAGATTCCTGTTTTTCTTTGGTTTTGAGTTTTTATACCTTGCAATGAATGAACTAATGGTATTAAACGGAATATTCAGGTTGTCTGAGATTTTCCTGCAACTTTTACCTTCTTTCGGGGGCTTAACAGTTAGTCTTCTTTTTTTTTCACTTTTTTTGCGAATTTGTCAGTTCTTTACCTCTTGCCATGATGGTAACCTTCTTGCACGAATATCAATTACAGAATGTTCTGTTTGTACTTTTTAGTCTAAAAATAACTCCTGGTAACGTTACTGGAACATTCTAGAATATTCCACTTGAATATAGAGAAATTTAAAAGTTTTAAAATCTGAAATTTGCATTGCATGAATACTTTTTTCACTCATTAAAATGGAAAAATGGGATTTATTTCTATTAAATTATTTTTTTTTCTATTTTCTATGCATATTTAGTTACGATGCATCGGTGTGCATTTAATTATATGAAAAGTATATTTGTTCATTCGATGGAAATACAAGAAATTAAAAATTGTATGTGTACGAATAGTTGTTTCCCCCACTGTATATTGGTGTGTCATCCGTGGGTCTTGAGAGATCATGGATCTGTGTTATGACGAATCTGATGGCTGTACAGGCCAACACGGGAATGAGAGTCTCGATTGCAGCCAATGCATGTGAAGACGCTCTCCCCTGATGTCACCGTGTTGTTTTCTTTCCATCGAGTCCGCCTCTCCGCGGCGGCAAGCCTTCGTTTCTTTTCTTTTCGTTCCAGCTCTCAGTGGAAATCGTGTCTCCCGCATAAGCGATCGGTGGGGACGTCTCCCCACCTTTCGATGTCCGTCTCTTTTTCAGGCATCCTTGAAACTCGTTCCCTCTTGCCGGTGGCTAGTTCTCCATACAGGAGGACCTTCCATCTGGCATACGGTGTACATATCCAAGCCAGCGGACTCGGTGCTGTTGAAGAAAGGCTGGGTAACTGGTCAAGGTGGGCACTACAACATTGGTGACCCGGTCGTACCAACTGATGCCCAAAATGCATGGTTGTTTTGACGCTATTCTCCCATTACAACTTTTGCTGATGCAGTTTTATTATTATTATTATTATTATTATTATTATTATTATTATTATCATTATTATTATTATTATTATTGACAGATTTGTTAAAATTGTTGATGAATAATAGACTAGAAATAAATGGGGAAAAAAAAACGAATTTATCCATCAACCTTAGAGGGGACGTGGGTTCGATTCCCGCCGGAGAGTGCATTTTTCTTTCATATGATTTCTCGAATATTTATGTCAATAGGTGAAAGAAAATATTGTTTAAAATAAACGGGGCGTCTATTCAAACAGGGGCATCCACTAAAAATAACGTTTAAAGTGATAAAAAATATGTCGGATGAATAAAAAAAAACACATTATTTTTTTTTAGATTGGTTCGATTGATTCAGCTTAGCGGCATATCAACATCTATCGGTGGCGCATTTCAACGTGGTGTAATGGTTAACAAGCTTTACTCGCTGAATCGGTTACGACTGAATAGTGAGTTCAATCTTCACTGGGCGCCTCATTCTTTCGGAGTTGTGCCACATCTAAGCCGCGCTTAGACAATCAATATCAACCTCTATGGGTTATTTCATGCTGAAATCTAAATATTTTGAACACAATTATATGGCTTGAACTACAGATAAAATGTATTGTTTGGTCATTTTACTATAAATAGGTATTTTTATACTTTTATCATGTTTTGATTTTGTTAGGGGCTTCACTATTTGCCCATGGCTGGGGCCCTAACAGGTGCTACCACCCCAGGTCAGGGTGTACCTGGGAACAACGCAATTATGAGGTGGTTCCGCACTCCTTAAAATCTCCCTATCAGAGGATTTGGTGCCAGGTGCTGTTTATCGTCATGCACAAGACATAGTTCTTAAGAAAACATATATATATATATATATATATATATATATATATATATATATATATATATATATATAATTATGAAGAAATATAGTCTTAAGGTGTGCTATATTTATGGGATAAAATGCTCAATATCAGAGATAGAGCGTGTGTAAATATAAAAGTGAACATAGAAGTCAACACTTCGAGGCGACAGTCTGTTTCATGCTAGATGCAATCGTCAGGCCTCTAAGTGTTGACTTCTATGTTCACTTTATATTTATATATATATATAATTATAATTTTTTTTTAAAATTAGTTATAACTTAGGGTCTACTTTTGTATTGAGCACGGATTTTTAAAAATAAAAAAAAAATACTAAAGAACTTCGGATTATTTACCTAACGTGTTCTTTCCTTTTTTCTAGATATTTGCACACACACATTCATATATATATATATATATATATATATATATATATATATATATATATATATAGGAGGGAGAGAGTGTGAAAGAGAGAGAAGACAATGGAAGAGAGAGAGGAAGTGAGAGAGAGCAAACACTTGAAAATCTATAATCAACGAACCCAGGAGGTACCAACTCTCTAACGATCAATGGCCTACATCTGACGTCTGTTCAATAAATTTTCCAACTCGCTTACTGGCTTCAAGAGCCATTGTCGGTCTCGTGAACGTTAATGCATGTTAGTGAGGGTCATACTCATTCTCATTTAATGAGTCGATAACCACACACACACACGACCGCCATATATATATATTATGAATCCCTTCATAAGTATTCTCTTTCACATGCAATCTCTCCCTGATTAAGTAAGATGCTGTTTTTCTCTATATATCTGCTTGCCTTCTTCTTCTTCTTCTTCTTCATCTTCTTCTTCTTCTTCTTCTTCTTGTCCTCCTCTTCCTTCTTCTTCTTCTTCTCATCGTCGTCCTCCTCCCCCTTTCTTCTTCTTCTTCTTCTTGTCCTCCTCTTCCTTCTTCTTCTTCTCGTCGTCCTCCTCACCCCCTTCTTCTTCTTCTTCTTCTTTTTGTCCTCCTCCCCTTTCTTCTTCTTCTTCTTGTCCTCCTCTTCCTCCTTCTTCTTCTCGTCGTCCTCCTCCTCCCCCTTCTTCTTCTTGTCCTCCTCTTCCTTCTTCTTCTTCTTCTCGTTGTCCTCCTCCTCCCCCTTCTTCTTCTTCTTCTTGTCCTCCTCCCCCTTCTTCTTCTTCTTCGTCACACATTTACACTTTTAAATACTTCCCTTTAACAACATTTAAACTTCCTCTCTTTGTCTCTCTACCTCCATTTCTCCTCATCTCTCCTTTACCACCTTTTCACTCTCTCTCTCTCTCTCTTTCTTTTCGCTCTCTCTCTCTCTCTCTCTCTTTCTTTTCTCTCTCTCTCTCTCTCTTGTTGTCTATCTTTTTCCTTCATTCCATTCATTCTTTTGCTTGATTGTGTTTTCCTGTGGTCTGTTCCCTTTACTCGCCATTTTTTTTTCTTTGACGACCGTATTTAACCTCCCCACCGCAACCTCGTCAATGCCCCAAAAATACACACCAATCTCTTATCCTATTTCAATATGTACGGATGGATGCGATTAACCTCTCTTTGAAAAAGATCCACCTTAAACAAACTTATGTCCACACAGAATTATTTGCCTCGCAAGTCCAGCTTCCTTCTGATCTCTCCTCCAGTCAATCTTTGTTCTTTATGATTCAGACAACCGCCATTTTCCTTCTCCTTCCCAATTCAGACACGCTTATGTTACAGACATTAAAATCATTAAGAATTAAACAAAAAAAAAAGTTTTAAAAAAAATATAAAAGCTACCCCTGTATTCAAACAACGACAATAATATTACTATAATTATAATAAAAATAATAAACAGCTAGTTACCCGTCTTACGGACATTTCTCTTAATAATAATTTAAAAATAATTCAGTAGACGACATTTTATTCACGATAACCGGATGTTTGGCGATTGACTTGCTCCGTTTCCATCATTCGATACTGTGCATCTGAAAAAGGTTGCCATTGCTTAAACTCAATCTTCATGGCCTGAATATTACTTTTAAGCATGAAACTAATTGTCGCCTCTGGGTGTTGACTTCAATGTCCACTTTTATGGATACAGGGTGCGATGGATTAATTGTCGTTTTAATTACGCAAAAATGAAAATGACACTGGCATCTCATTTTAACGTAGTACGGAATTAATTTCAACTCCGAATTAATTTCACCTCGGAACTAATTTCAACTCGGAACTAATTTCAGCTGAGAAATCCTCAGTACTCTGATTTGAATTTCAATAAATCTGTGAAGCTTTCAAACGAAATTAAAATTTAATTTATTGATTTTCTTAATTTTTGATCAATAACGGCTTCTTTTGAACAGCTAAGCAATCTACTGTTCTTGTTACAAAGAATATTGCCTTTATATTAGATTAGATTTAAATGAATAAACGTCGATAAAACAGTACCCCACTTTATTCATTTGCAGCAAAAAAAAAAAAAAGGAACAGAAAAGATTAATTCTGAATTATTCTATCTACTAAGGATTTTTAATGCTAAATTAAATAATTAACACCAACGCATTTTGTTTAGGAATTCACGGAAATTGATAACTTTGTTTTTAAATCGATTTGAAATCAGTTCCGATTTGAAATTAGTCCCGAGTTGAAATTGATTCCGAAGTGAAATTATGTTCCGAGTTGAAATTAATTCCGAAGTGAAATTATGTTCCGAGTAGAAATTAATTCCGAAGTGAAATTATGTTCCGAGTAGAAATTAATTCCGAAGTGAAATTATGTTTCGAGTTGAAATCAATTCCGAAGTGAAATTATGTCCCGAGTTGAAATTAATTCCGAAGTGAAATTATGTTTCGAGTTGAAATTAATTCCGAAGTGAAATTATGTTCCGAGTAGAAATTAATTCCGAAGTGAAATTATGTTTCGAGTTGAAATTAATTCCGAAGTGAAATTATGTTCCGAGTAGAAATTAATTCCGAAGTGAAATTATGTTTCGAGTTGAAATTAATTCCGAAGTGAAATTATGTCCCGAGTTGAAATTAATTCCGAAGTGAAATTATGTTCTAAGTTAAAATTAGTTGTGTCACTCATTTTAACATTTTTTCATATTTACCAAAATGATACAAAAATATCTTGAAATAATAAACAGTAAATAAAATCGCTGTTGGCTTCAACGACTGCGTCCAGACGACATCGGAATATCCTGCAATTCTCTGAACGGTCTTCTTGTGTAAGATGCTGACTATTGCCATAATTCTTGCCTTCAGCTCATCTTTGGTGTTACAAGGTGTTTCATTGGTCCCTTCCGTGTTGAGTCTGGGGCCCTCACAAACAAATTCGTGAGTTCTTTTATCAGAACGATCAGAGTGTATTTTCCGAGCTGCCGTACCTTCATCATTAGACTCATCCACCTATTTCTGAATATTCTGCACTAACCTCAGATTGTCACCCAAACACTCTGAAATGTTCGCGTTGGAGCTTCCGGTGCGAATGCCAAGCAGCAGTACAGCATGCAGTTTCCAAATTTCTGTTGGTGCAAATTGCGTCATGGTGTTCTTTTTCTCGCAGACAGTGCGCGCTTGCCTACTACACAGTGCGGTCGACAAACTCAAAACAAACAACACGCGTGCGCGAAATGAAAAATATAAAATGGCGACATTTTACCATCACACCCTATATATATATATATATATATATATATATATATATATATATGGGTTAAAGATCAAATTAAGATCAAATATGGATCGGAATCCAACTGGATGATAAAAATTTTAAAAAATACGAAACGTATATCAATTTATATTTCACTTTTATTAAAGCATCCTCAGAGATTGAGAGAAAACAGACAAAATGTTTGGGTCAATTCTCATTGGTCCCTCATATTAAAACCGTAGATAATTCTATATGTATGTAAATTTGTGAAGATTCTTGTATGTCTAAGTGGGAACTGAATGGTAATATGTATTCGTAATTAGGTATGTGTTTCCGTCAAGTTGGATTTCTAATGTTTTCACTTTGGTGCATCCAGCCAGCGCAGTGGGGTGTCACATGATTGTAATTCATAGCTGATCTCTTTAAGCCTGTATCCCTTGTATTAGACAATATAAGTGTTATGGGGTCCACCCTTTTTTCATAGAAGTGGACTCAGCCAGTGTGTACTTGGACTGCTGCCGTTAAATACCCAGAGTCAGTCAGAGAGATTGAGATTGTGATTGAGTTGGAGGTAGAGTAATAGTGTGAGGTAACCGCTTGTAGAAGTCACAACTGCGAGCACGTAGACTCTAAGGAAGTCCTACTTCGAGACTGGATTTACCAAACTGTGTATATATATATTATTATTGCTACTAACCACGTTCCTGGATCTACTAACTGTATTACCAATTGTATTATTGTGTAAATACATTTATTTGTTATATTTCATTCGTGCGTTTGTCATTCATTGGAGACCGAATTTCATCTCGGAATCCACAACAATAACTTAGACTCTTTAAGAATGAATTCAAAGAACGATGGTGATTTAATGTTTTAAGCGCATGTTTATATTTGGTAATTATAACTTAATAATACCATTATTACCAACTATAAACACAAGCTTAAAACATTATATTACATCGCCAAATATCTTTGGATCCATTTAATGATGAAGATGAGGACGATAGTTCGCATGTGAATAATGTAAATAATTCTATCTACGGTTATCACGTCAGCACACTCTCGGTCTTTCCCTTTCTTCAATAGTAATAATCTATATATAACATTATGTGACTTCTTCAAGTCCGTCTGCCTGTCCTCCCCCACCTCGTACATCAGTTATGTGCCATGCGTGATACTCGATTAGGCGATCATGTATCTTTCGATACATGACTAACAAGGCAGGTTTTTTTTCCCGCAGTAGATTGCCATTTCTTTCTGCATTAGACCAGTTGCTATCCAAGACTATACAACCCGGTCTGCCCTGCTATTTACCCACAGATGAGGGTGGAGACATTTAGTTATGTGCCATGCGCGATACGCGCTTAGGCGATCATGTTAGTGGCTCTCCAATACCTCAATCCGAGCTATTACTCCACCAATCGGAACCAAATTTTAGGGAGAAATGCAATCATCTCAGGAGGATACAAGGTCAGTTGGTTTTTACTAATGTGCGTAGCTTAGTACAATACATTTTCACTAATTTCATTTGAAAAGTTAAGTTTTATTCTTTAACAGAAAATATAAGTTCTCCCTCAGTACACTGTGAGGACAGATATTAAAATGACTTAGCCGCAGCCGTGAACGTCATTGAGAACCCCCCACCCTTACACACCTTTCAACAAAGAGAGATTGTTCTTCGTAAGGCGTTTCCTAAGCCACTTTTATTTTACTTAAGTGGTTGCAGTTTTACCATTGTATTTAACAAGGCCAAACGTTTGAAAAAGTTGGAATTTGGCTCCTGGAAGAAATATTTACGTCTGTCCTGTTATATATTGCATGCTCAAGAGTAAGAGATTCTAAGAATTTATTTTTTGATATTAAAAAGGAAAAAAAACATTTCTTGAAATGTATTGTTTACCATGAAGTCCTATAAAATAAAATGAAATTAAAAAAATTATTAAGTCGCGAAGTCGGGTTTTTATCAAAGTATTTTTTTCCAAACAAATCAGCTTATTTAGATTTCATCGATTGGTCTGTGAAATTGAACGAAACGTCCTTGATGGTCTGGAAGTCCTCTCTCTCTCTCTCGCTCTCTCTCTCTCTCTCTCTCTCTCTCTCTCTCTCTCTCTCTCTCTTACAATTTTAAGAGTTTATCTCTGTTGCTCTACGACTCAACAACATGGACACTGACGAAATCCCAAGAAACATCATTTGACTGAACAAACATAAGGATATTACGAGTTGCATTGAGCATCAGCTAGAAGAAACACCCAACCAAAAAAACCTTTATGTACACCTTCCTTCTATCTCAGTTACGATGAGAGGGTGACAGAAGGCTACGGCTAGCTGGTCACACCTGGAGAAGTAAGTGACACCTTCCTATGAAAGGCACTGTACGGCAAAAGATCAATTGGAAGACCTCATCACACCTACATTGACCAACTTGTAGATGACTCTGGATGCCATTTGGAGGACCTGCCGACAGTGATGTCTGGCAGAAATGTCTGGAAGGAACGAATCGGGAGAAGCCGGAAAGAATTCTCGACCTGATGATGATGATACCATGTCGTGGTGCACAATCTGCTCGATGGTAATGATGTGTTACTACCGGTTGCCCAGTAAAAAAAGCGGTAAATTCAGAAAGAAATTTATTTATCTATCATTATTCATGCACAAACTGAACAATCGTAGATTTTTTAAATGTTTTCCTGTATGTTCAACACAAAATTGTATAGCAGGGTAACTAGCAGGCAATAACTTTGCGGATAGGGTTCAGAGAAATTTCATTCCACACTTCAGTTAAGTTCCACTTCAATGAATCAGTATCGGCGATGCCACGGCGACGGTTTTGCGAGTGAGTTAGGAATATACTCCAGATACAGTAACCCATAATATTCAAATCTGATCTTTTAGAGGGCTACTGAGATGAACCAATTAGACCTGGCGTATTTTCTCGAAGAATAAATATAGCGACTTTTTAGTATATATTTTCTGCAATTATTTACATTGTTCGGACTGTTGTCCTCATCATTATTGTCAGGTTCACGAGGTTTCGGCCGTTGTACACTCCCGCCTTCTTCAGGATCGTCTATATTTCTGAGATGAGGTATTGTAATTACTTACACTATTTACATTGTTCGGACTGTTGTCCACATATTTAATGACATGTTCACGCTGTTTCGGCCGTTGTACGCTCCCGCCTTCTTCAGGATCGTCTATATTTCTGAGATGAGGTATTGTAATTATTTACATTGTTCGGACTGCTGTCCACTCCTTTATTGTCATGTTCACGATGTTTTTGGCAGTTGTATCTAACCAAAGCTTTTCTCCTTGAGGACACATGGCCTAGTGGATAAAATCATTGGCCTCATTCAGTGACTTGACCCAATGAGTTGTGAGTTCAATACCTTGCTACTGCAGTGGTAAACAAATAAAGAAGGAAAAAAAACTTGGAAAGTTGAGTTAAAGGGAGACAAATGAGACATATGGAAGAGGCATGGCACGTGGAACTAGAACAGTCTGCTCCGGTGGAGGGAATAAAGGGTCCAGTTCGAAATTCCAATCACCTGAAGGAGGCCGGAGTGTACAACGGCCGAAATTGAACTGCGAGGGATCGATCAGGGAAAGATCAGCTGTCACAGATTTGACATCGAGATATTTGGAAGTGGACGCATACACTGTCGTATCATTTACATATACATTTACTTAGGATCTTAGGTGTTCTCATTGAAGATGAGGTAAAGGGCAGTAATATTCACATATATATATATATATATATATATATATATATATATATATATTCCTCTCCGTTTATTGTTGAGACAATTAGACATTGAATTTTCTGGTCAAAATGTAGGTAAGTGGATTAATAAACTTTCGTTGTTTTGCAAATGGTGTACCTGTTAGAGGTTCGGAACGCCAAAATGAACAAGCCTGGTTGAAGTTCAAGTCGAGATCATTACATCCACTTTTGCACAAATACTGTTGAGAAAAGTATGCATCAATCCCCTATGTCTCTAACCGTATTTGGTAACCAATATAGGAGAAGGATAACTTAATTCTAAACTGTATGTGTACCCGGCGGTTCAGATATATTGAACGGCTCGCTCAGCAGAGTTTCGATATAAAGCACAGGTTAACTCAGCGAGTATTGAAGAAACGCATATAGGCCTGAGCAGATGGGCGTGCACGGTACACGAGCAAGCCACACTGAAGATGAAAACCACGCTGATTAAATTCGAAACAGTACCGATGATCAATGAAATGTGTTCTCATTGAAGGTTCAGAAAATGCATAGAAAAAATACTGTTGAGGATTATATATATATATATATATATATATATATATATATATATATATATATGAAGAAAATACAAAAAAACAAGCAAAAATATTTCTAAACAATAATATTCTAAACATAATTCTAAACAAAAATATGGTCTAACATCATCAGGACATTTTCATTAAACATAATTAACATTAGAACATATAAAATTCAACATGAAAAGACCAGACTCAATCCCTCCCCTCTTCAGGCCTTGTGCCACAATTGTATTTTTCGATACAATAAATATATAAAGACGATGGGCATAAGAGCACAACTAATCCAAACAGATAACTGAAATTTTTATATAAGATCAGCGTTCCGTTTAAATATGATCACGTCGTCGTCACGTGGGCGATGTTGTGAAACGTCCGACGTTGACTTTATATTAACATTAATACAGCATAATTGCATATTAAGATTTTTGTTTGTTTTTTGCTGTATATTTTTCTTCATACTGTCGGATCTATATCCATATTTTTATATATATATATATATATATATATATATATATATATATATATATATATATATATATATATATATAAAAAAGTAGTTCTACCTCTTCTATCCTCTTGGAATTATTTTTTATACAAATATATATGTATGTGTATGTATGTATGTATATATATTTATATATTTTAGATAGATGATTGCACATGTATGTGTATATTTACCACTAATATTATCAATTATATATATATATATATATATATATATATATATATATATATATATATATATATATATATATATATAATCATTTAAAAAAATTATAATATAAAAATGTTATAAAATCGCTTGAAAAACAGCCATTTTGTTTGAACACTTCTGGTGTCTTTTCAAGTGATGGTGTTGGGTATGTTATAATTTTCAAATAAATGATTATATATGCTCTACTCTGTATTGAGCACTCTTTTAAGAATAGTATTTGTTGGTTATTGAATTTATTCCGTATACACCAATCCTATAGTTATATATATATATAAAGAAATATAGTCTTAAGGAGTGCTATATTTATGGGATAAAGTGCTCAATATCAGAGATAGAGCGTGTGAATATAAAAGTGAACAAATCGTCAGGCCACGAGAGGCGACAGTCTGTTTCATGCTATAGACTGTCGCCTCTATTGCATATTGACTTTATGTTCACTTTTTATATATATATATATATATATAAAGTTAAACAAAGACAAAGCTACCAAGGTTTCACCTAAGCGGATCGTCAGAGAAGACTTAGGTGAAACCTTAACAGGACAATCTGGCTCTCTAGGTTTAACTAGGTCTGCTCTACTCACTATATCGAGGACTTATTTAGTTGTTTTGCCTACTCGTATCAGGGTTTTTTTTTGAGGGGGGGTGCTTTGAACTTGCATGTAAGACGATTATTTTCTGCTAACGTACATGTTCTTGGTTCTTTCTTTATTTATACCTTTTTCCCTTTGGTATTGGTTTGATTATTTGCAAATCAAAACACTGAAGGTTTTTCGAACAGTATAATTTCTTTACTTATAAGATACTTACTCTAATATATATATTATATATATATATATATATATATATATATATATATATATATATATATATATATATATATATATATATATATATATATATATATATATATATATATATATATATATATATATATATATATATATATATATATATATTATTTTTGAAGGTAGCTTCTCACACTAAAACAAGAACAAAAGTCCATATAAACATACGTCAGCAAAACAGTGGATAAAGGCGTTGGTTAGATCCAGTGGCAGGACCCAAAGAGTGTGAGTTCAATACCCGGTTAAGGCAGTGGAGAACTTAGAGAAGGGAATTAACAGGAGATAACTGATAGCTGACATCCATTAAACATGGCACGTGGAACTAGAACAGTCTACCCCGGTGAGCGAAATAAAGGGTTCAGTTCGACATTCCAACCACCTGAAGAAGGCCGGAGCGTACAACGGACGAAACGTTGTAAGAAATATGGCGACAAAGATGAGGACAATAGTCCGAATAATGTAAATAGTGAGCGAGTTTCAGTTAAGCATCCCCAGTACACGTGAACCTGGAAGGATCTCAGTTGTGTTACGTTTTGTCTTTAGTGACACGAAAAAAGTAAGTGTAAAGAACTGTGGTGATTTTTTACGGACCTTGGACGGATCGGAAATATTCCCATTTATGTCAATGGGGATACTTGACTTGAGATACGAGTCTTTGGAACGAATTAAACTCGTATCTCAAGGCATTACTGTAGTTGGAGCTTGGCTAATTACAGAGTTAATTTTCCTGCTTTATTTAATTATTTCTTTATTTACAAGGAAGCAATTAATAGATAATCTGTAATAGAATAATTAACATGGAAATATTTAACATAATGAAAGAACATTTTGAACTACTGTAAATTTATATTTCAAAAATAAGAAACATGAAACTTATTAAAATATCATTTTCACGGGTTCTGCTAATTATTATTATTATTATTGTTAATAATAATAATAATAATATTCGTAATTGTTATAATAATGGTATCTGAAACGTATTACCATAATTTCGTGGTTTTTGCCGCTGTTTCAATTGATTGAATCTTTATTGGTTCTGATTCGACACCGCTTTCTCTCTTCTCTTCCACGATTGCTTCCATCGGGGTTGTCCACCACCCACCGCACCCAACGGCTTTGACCGATCGCTATTAAATATTTAACGACCTCAATCAGAGCCATGTTTTAGATCCGCCACATTTCAAATGTTTCGTTACGCCCGGGATAACGACGCCATTTGAAGTGCTAATCGACCTCCTGCCAAACAAAATCGCCACTTGCCACTGAATTCCACTTCTCTTTATTTCCAGCGACGAATTTCTTCATCTTTTCCTCTCTCTATCTGTCTTTCCCTCTCTCTATCTGTCTTTCCCTGTCCTTTTTTTGTTTCCATCAAGGATTTCCTTTTTCTCTTCTCTCTATTTTTCTCAACATCAAGCTGTCTATCTTTATTCTTTTTCCATCAGAAATGTTCTTTTCTTCTCTCAGTCAGAGTCGCTTTCTCTCTCTCTCTCTCTCTCTATATATATATATATATATATATATATATATATATATATATTCATTTTTCGCGATATTTCTGTTAGTGTTTATCTCTCGATCTTTCTCTCTTCTTTATTTTCAAGGGTTTTCTTCCCTTCTCTCTGTTTCTGTTAATTGACTATCTCTCTATCACTCTCCAATTTTTTCCATCAAGGATGTTCTTCTCTATATTTCTCTATGTGTCTATCTATCTATCCTTCTTTATTTCAATCGAATTTTCTTCTTCTCTTCTCTCTATTTCAGTCATTCTCTCTCTCTTTCTCTCTCTCTCTCTCTCTCTTTCTCTCTCTCTCTAATTTCTTTTTCCATCAAGGATTTTCTTCCTACTTCCCTCTTTTTCCCTCAAGATGTATTAGTCATTATGTATTCTTTATTTTTGTCAAGCATTTTCATCTTCCTCTTCTCTCTCTCTCTCTCTCTCTCTCTCTCTCTCTCTCTCTTTCAGTGTTCGTCTGTCTATATTTTTTCTTCTTCTTTTCTTCTTCTCTTCTCTTCTCTTCTCAGTCTCTATGCAACTATCTTTTTTCTCTTCGTTTCCATTAAAGATTTTCGTCTCTTCTCTTTTAATATCTATCTATCTATCTATCTATCTATCTATCTATCTATCTATCTTTTTTCTTTTCTTTTTTAACCTCAATCATTTTCTTCTTCTCTTCTCAGTGTCTATGCAACTATCTTTTTTCTCTTCTTTTCCATTAAAGATTTTCATCTCTTCTCATCTCTTTTTATAGTGGATGACAGAACTTGGTCTGGGGGAGATGGCATAGGGAAGGAACTTGTTAAGAGCTCCAAGGGATAGAAGGTGGTGGAGAGCCATGATCGCCTACGTCGTGAAAGGGCATGGCACATAGAAAGAAAAAAGAGGATTTTATTACAAACACTATTTTATTTACTTTCTTATGAATAGGTTTTGCTAATATTTGTAAATATTCATTGGGGTTACATTTTAAATTGTTACTTTATTCCCCCTCCTCCAGGCATGAATTGTACATATGGGGACTAGTTAGGATTTTCATAGAGACAATGAGGGATTATGGTGGATGTAGTAAGAAAGGTAAGTAAGAATGCGTTGCTTTCGTGTTAGGAATATTGTGGTATGTTTGGGTCAGTGTTTGTGGCTATCTAAGTTTAATGTTAAGACAGAAGAAGACCGTCCTTTTGTCCCCATTCTCCATTTTGGCCTTGTGCCACATTTTGTATTTTATACAAATAAATATCACTTTCTCATTTAGTACATATGAGGACTATTTAAGATTTTATAGAGACTGTGAAGTATTGTGGTCGCTGTAGTAAGTTTGTTTAGGTCAATGTTTGTGGCTAGCTAAGTTTATATAACACAGATTGTAGATCAGACTTCCCTGACCTCCGCCCATTTTGGCCTTGTGCTAAATTTGTATATTATTACACAAAATAAAAAAAAAAGTTTATTTTTTAGTACCTAGACTTTATAAAGTTAAGCTTAGTTCTAGATTGGTAGCAATCTATCTATCTATCTATCTATCTATCTATCTATCTATCTTTTTTCTTTTCTTTTTTAACCTCAAGCATTTTCTTCTTCTCTTCTGAAGAGATTTTTCCGGTTCTATTTTATTCAATAAACATATTGCCATCTTGGTGTGTTTGTCTATTGCTCTGGTAGTCTACGTAGAACAGAACATCAAAGCAAATTTTGCAAAGAAATATTGTTTATCTTGGAGACATCCAATGTACTTATGCGCATTAGGTAACTTATTAAATAGCTCTAAATTTAGAGCCAATCATCTAATTGTAATATCATTTTCGAATTCAGCATCTCACAATACATGATAATTGGCACATTTTATTTCTGAAATAGCGAATTTGCGAAAAATTGTAGACCGGTGTTACCATTCTTTGCGAATGGATAAATGTGTAATCCAGTTATAGTACTTTATAGAATTATGTGATGATAATCTTCTCTGAGTCTAAGCCAAGTTTCTACTGTGCTGACCAGCTTTTACTTATGGTAACGGCAATGGTAATGATAATATTAGCCGTTTCCTTACAAGGAAACATTCGAAATTCATTGACCGCGCAGCCAGTAGTGAAATCTTTTTCTTAAAACATTTTTTCAGGGAAATAGGTTGCTCAAAGCCAGTAGCTCTAATCGCTAAATAAATTTAAATAAAATAATATTACAATGTCGGAAGAATTCATATATTAAATAAATATTAAGAGAAATCGTTTGAATTCTAAATTTGAACGAGGTTTTCTGCAATTCTATTTGGTTTAATGTAATAATCCTAAACTGAGAGAAACTATAAGAACGTAACGGCAAAAGAAATGTCGTTATGGTTAAATGAGTGAAAGAAAAAGTAAAATTTTTATGCATATATGTGCGCCGAAGAGAGACTCAAAGAAAACGAATTTTGTTAAGCCGGGTCAGAGACGCATGCGCAAAATGAAAATTGAAGACGTTTTATCTCTCCGTCAATAACGAAGAGAATCATTTCTTATTATTTTGAGGATAAAGAAACTGATATCAACTCATATGGAAAGTCAGTTTTGCATCGAAAACAAGAAACTGGTTTCAAAGAAGTATTTTACAGAGGCTACAGGAAAAAAGTATTTTATATAAAAAAAAAACTGACCTACTTTTTAAATTAAAAGTTAAAAAGATGAAATTAGCAAAATTCATAATTTTAATGCAACTGTAGTCCAAAAAAATTTTGTCCTGGGTATGACAATAAACTATCTGGCAAGGAAAGCCTCTGGATATTAAAGGTTTTGAGAAGCATGGAACCAACTCTTAATAGCTGTTGTTCCCAGGTCCACCATGACATGGGGTGGTAGCACCTGTTAGGGTCTCAACTATGGGCAAATAGTGAACTATGAAAATATAAAAAAATACCAGCAATACATTTTTATATAAAAAAATTATCAAAAATACATATTTATAGTAAAAACACCAACAATACATTATATCTGTAGTTGAAGATATACAATTGCATTAAAAATATATTTATCTCAAGCCATAAAATTGTGTTCAAAATATTTAGATTTCGGCATTAAATAATCCACAGAGGTTGATATGGTGTTAAACAAAATCAAACAACATAAAAGAACTCTCATGACATTAATCCACATATAATATCCTACAATTTCTTCAAGAAATCAAACTTTATTCCAAAATATAATTTTAACAAAAATGCAGCAAAAAAAAAACACATAGCTTTACCTTTATTAATTATGTTCACACAAACATCTATCGTCACAGAAGCTGAGTATCATCTACCATGTATTCAATTGTGAAAGCAGAATAACATATATTATATTTTTATTATTTAGGGGCTCCCAAGAAAATTAAATTTCGTCATAAAATGACCCATAAGATGTTAATTTACCGTTAAACAGACAAATCAAATCAAATCAATCAAAAAAAAAAATCCCGAATGGTTAATTTTGAATGACTAAATCTACTCAAAGCAGACGATAGTCGATTGGTTCAGATGTCTTCGAGTTGTGTGTCCTTTTTTCATTGAAAATAATAATAAAGGTATTAAAAAGGGTGTTTCTGGAAATGTTGTTCAAATTGATGGACCGTTGTTTGATTCAAATATAACAGTGGACGCATGATTGACGGACAATGAATATTTGGAGAAAATAATAGACGCTCTGAAGAATTCAATTACTTCGTTAAATTTGTTCCTGATAGGTCTCTGAAGACACTGGAAAAAATGATACATAGACGCATCCATTTGCAGTTAACAATGATCAAGGATCAATGGTTAAAATATATTTGTGCGAGTGATGTATATGGACATTGAGGAAGATCATTCTTATTTGAACATTGTGTACTGGTGCTAGAGAAACAGAAAAAAAGAAATGTAACAAATAAGAAGAACCACATCACTTGAAGACTATCAACAGCAGTAACAATTAAAATGGATAGCACATGTAATTCGAACAGAAAATAAGGACATAATGTTGGCAATCCACATTACTTTAACCAAAGGTTTAGGAAGGAAGAACCACAAACCATCATTTAAGAAGTAAGAACCGCAAAACCACCACCTCTCCAATTATTAGGAAGGAAGAACAGCAAACCACCACCGCCCCCATCATTTAAGAAGTAAGAACCGCAAAACCACCACCTCTCCAATTATCAGGAAGGAAGAACAGCAAACCACCACCGCCCCCATCATTTAAGAAGTAAGAACCACAAAACCACCACCTCTCCAATTATTAGGAAGGAAGAACAGCAAACCACCACCGCCCCCATCATTTAAGAAGTAAAACCAAAACCACCCTCCCAATTATTAGGAAGGAAGAACAGCAAACCACCACCGCCCCCATCATTTTAAGATTAGGAAGGAAGAACAGCAAACCACCACCGCCCCCATCATTTAAGTAAACCACAAACCACCACCTCTCCAATTATTAGGAAGGAAGAACAGCAAACCACCACCGCCCCCATCATTTAAGAAGTAAGAACCACAAAACCACCACCTCTCCAATTATTAGGAAGGAAGAACAGCAAACCACCACCGCCCCCATCATTTGAGAAGTAAGAACCACAAAACCACCACCTCTCCAATTATTAGGAAGGAAGAACAGCAAACCACCACCGCCCCCATCATTTAAGAAGTAAGAACCACAAAAACCACCCTATCCAATTATTAGGAAGGAAGAACAGCAAAACCACCACCGCCCCCATCATTTAAGAAGTAAGAACCACAAACCACCACCTCTCCAATTATTAGGAAGGAAGAACAGCAAACCACCACCGCCCCCATCATTTAAGAAGTAAGAACCACAAAACCACCACCTCTCCAATTATTAGGAAGGAAGAACAGCAAACCACCACCGCCCCCATCATTTAAGAAGTAAGAACCACAAAACCACCACCTCTCCAATTATTAGGAAGGAAGAACAGCAAACCACCACCGCCCTCATCATTTAAGAAGTAAGAAACACAAAACCACCACCTCTCCAATTATTACGAAGGAAGAACAGCAAACCACCACCGCCCCCATCATTTAAGAAGTAAGAACCACAAAACCACCACCTCTCCAATTATTAGGAAGGAAGAACAGCAACCAACCGCCCCATCATTTAAGAAGTAAGAACGACAAAACCACCTCTCAATTATTAGGAAGAACAAACCACCACCGCCCCCATCATTTAAGAAGTAAGAACCCAAAACCACCTCTCCAATTATTAGAAAGAAGAACAGCAAACCACCACCGCCCTCATCATTTAAGAAGTAAGAACCACAAAACCACCACCTCTCCAATTATTAGGAAAGAAGAACAGCAAACCACCACCGCCCCCATCATTTAAGAAGTAAGAACCACAAAACCACCACCTCTCCAATTATTAGGAAGGAAGAACAGCAAACCACCACCGCCCCCATCATTTAAGAAGTAAGAACCGCAAAACCACCACCTCTCCAATTATCAGGAAGGAAGAACAGCAAACCACCACCGCCCCCATCATTTAAGAAGTAAGAACCACAAACCACCACCTCTCCAATTATTAGGAAGGAAGAACAGCAAACCACCACTGCCCCCCATCATTTAAGAAATAAGAACCACAAAACCACCACCTCATTATTAGGAAGGAAGAACAGCAAACCACCACCGCCCCCCATCATTCAAGAAGTAAGAACCACAAAACCACCACCTCTCCAATTATTAGGAAGGAAGAACAGCAAACCACCACCGCCCTCATCATTTAAAAAGTAAGAACCACAAAACCACAACCTCTCCAATTATTAGGATGGAAGAACAGCAAACCACCACCGCCCCCATCATTTAAGAAGTAAGAACCACAAAACCACCTCTCCAATTATTAGGAAGGAAGAATAATAAACCACCACTGTCCCCATCATTTAGTAACAACCACAAAACCACCACCTCTCCAATTATTAGGAAGAAAGAACAGCAAACCACCACCGCCCCCATCATTTTTAAAGTAAGAACCACAAAACCACCTCTCCAATTATTAGGAAGGAAGAACAGCCACCACCGCCCCCATCTAAGAACCACAAAACCACCTCTCCAATTATTAGGAAGGAAGAACAGCAAACCACCACCGCCCCCCATCATTTAAGAAGTAAGAACCACAAAACCACCACCTCTCCAATTATTAGGAAGGAAAAACAGCAAACCACCACCGCCCCTCATCATTTAAAAGTAAGAACCACAAAAACCACCTCTCCAATTTTTTAGGAAGGAAGAACAAACCACCACCGCCATCATCATTTAAGAAGTAAGAACCGCAAAACCACCACCTCTCCAATTATCAGGAAGGAAGAACAGCAAACCACCACCAACATTTAAGAAGTAAGCCCAAATCCACCACCTCTCCAATTATTAGGAAGGAAGAACAATAAACCATCACCGCCCTCATCATTTAAGAAAAAACACAAAACCACCACCTCTCCAATTATTAGGAAGGAAGAACAGCAAACCACCACCGCCCCCATCATTTAAGAAGTAAGAACCACAAAACCACCTCTCCAATTATTAGGAAGGAAAACAGCAAACCACCACCGCCCCCATCTAAGAACCACAAAAACCACCACCTCTCCAATTATTAGGAAGGAAGAACAGCAAACCACCACCGCCCCCATCATTTAAGAAGTAAGAACCACAAAACCACCACCTCTCAATTATTAGGAAGGAAAACAGCAAAACCACCCCCATCATTTGAGAAGTAAGAACCACAAAACCACCCTCCAATTATTAGGAAGGGCCCCATCATTTAAGAAGTAAGAACCACAAAACCACCACCTATCCAATTATTAGGAAGGAAGAACAGCAAACCACCACCGCCCCCATCATTTAAGAAGTAAGAACCACAAAACCACCACCTCTCAATTATTAGGAAGGAAGAACAGCAAACCACCACCGCCCCCATCATTTAAGAAGTAAGAACCACAAAACCACCACCTCTCCAATTATTAGGAAGGAAGAACAGCAAACCACCACCGCCCCATCATTTAAGAAGTAAGAACCACAAAACCACCACCTCTCCAATTATTAGGAAGGAAGAACAGCAAACCACCACCGCCCTCATCCCTCCAATTATTACGAAGGAAGAACAGCAAACCACCACCGCCCCCATCATTTAAGAAGTAAGAACCACAAAACCACCACCTCTCCAATTATTAGGAAAGAAGAACAGCAAACCACCACCGCCCCCATCATTTAAGAAGTAAGAACCTCCAAAACCACCACCGCCCCCATCTCCACCACCTCCAATTATTAGGAAGGAAGAAACAAAAGCACCACCGCCCCCATCATTTAAGAAGTAAGAACCACAAAACCACCACCTCTCCAATTATTAGGAAAGAAGAAAGCAAACCACCACCGCCCCCATCATTTAAGAAGTAAAACACAAAACCACCACCTCTCCAATTATTAGGAAGGAAGAACAGCAAACCACCACCGCCCTCTTCATTTATTTAAGTAAGAACCACAAAACCACCACCTCTCCATTTTAACAGCAAACAACCAACATCATTTTAAGAAGTAAAACCACAAAACACCACCTCTCCAATTATTAGGAAGAAGAACAGCAAACCAACCACCCAAAACCACCCCTCTCCAATATTAGGAAGGAAGAACAGCAAACCACCACCGCCCCCATCATTTAAGATGTAAGAACCACAAAACCACCACCTCTCCAATTATTAGGAAGGAAGAACAGCAAACCACCACCACACCCGTAATATAAAAAGAAAGAACAGCTAACTACCACCACTCTCATTATTTAGGAAGGAAGAACCTCAGGCCACCACTACTTCCATCATTTAGGAAGGAAGAACAGGAAATCACCACCTCTCCCTATTTAGGGAAAAAAAAGTATGTATGTAGTAAATAAAATTTCAGAGTTAATGAGAGATATTAGAAGTATAGAGGTCTAATAGACTTTAGAAAGAGCCGGAAACCCAACCTATCAAGGGATAAAGCTCTACTCCTGTTCAAAAGAACGGGGAGGAGTATGAACTGGACGATATGTGAACCTTCTGTTGAGAGGAAAAAACAAGTAACTAAATAGTGAATAAAATTTCCGAGTTTACGCTATGTTAGAAGTATAGAGTTGAAGTTGATTTTAGAAGGAACCGGAAACTCAATCCTAAACAAGGAACCGGAAACTCAATCCTAAACAAGAAACAAGGGATAAAGCTCTGCTCCTGTTCATGAGAATCAACATTTCTATTTTATCAAGTTTCCTCTTCATCTGTGAAGAGATTATCCAGCATTTACTGACATATGGGAGAAATTATATTACGTAGCAATTTAGCACTCTTTTCTTTGTTTCTAATTGCGTTTCTTAATCCATTTAATTTTTGCAAAGCATCTTTGGCTATTCGAATCCACCTTCGGATTTTGGTTTCACATTTTCCGTCGCCAATAAAATTCGACGAAAGAGAAGCGGAATGTTTTTCATGAGTAGAAAATCATATTTTGCAAAACACACCCACATCCGGTGGCGCATGCGCGGTATTTTATTTATTTATTTTTTCACGGTGGGACGGTGATAAAATGTCCGACAAATAAATTACCCGCCACAATGAAGGATATTAAATTTAGAGAATAAACTTCTTTTCTCCCCTCTCCGCAGTCTCTCTCTATTCCTCTCTGTTAGCTCTCTCTTTTTTTTTGTTTTTGTCTCTTTCTTTCGATCTCTTTTTCTTTCTCTCTTTCTCCACCTCACTATTTCTTTTGTGTAACCTGTCACCTACTCTCTCTTTCATCAAAACTCTTTCTTTCTTTCTTTCTTTCTTTCTTTCTTTCTTTCTTTCTTTCTATCTATCTATCTATCTATCTATCTATCTATCTATCTTTATCTATTTTTCTTTCTTTTTTCTTTCTTTCTAAAATTCCACGTTACGCCAAGAGGCAGCAGCTTGAATAATTCTTCATGGGAAGCTGAAGGGACTGCTGGCTGCAAGGTTCTAGATTTGGGAGGCAGATTAGATCATTCGACTGGAGACCAGTATTATTAATATCATGTTTATATATATTTTTTATTATTAGGTAAAGCATTGTAAAAAATTATTAATATTTTATACGCATTTCTTTCGTCTGAATTTTAAGTGGCTTTCATTGGCCATTAGTCAGTCAATTTGTTTCAAATCCACGTTGTTTACTCATGACCATAGGCTGGCGGCTGAACATCTCCAATTTAAATTCACCTTCTTTTATGTGCTGTGTTCCTTCAAGAAATAGGCGATAATGGCTCTCCACATCTTCTTGTCTCTTGTAGCTCTTAATAATTTGGGGCTTTTTTCTTATTTCTCGTAAACCTTGTTTTACTACTCATTTACTCAAGCTAATCAAGAATGTTACGCGCTACTTTGCTCTGTCCCTTTCCTTCAATCTGTCCTGTGAGTATCAGATTTTCCAAGCCCTTCTTCCTCATTACGTGCGCCAGAAATGTCAACTGCCTGTTCCTGGTGTTAAATATAAGTTTCCTTTTTGTTTCCATTTTCTCCAAGTTGAAATTAAGGAATGCTAATAAAGAAGTTCATTTTGAACATCATAGACAAAATCCCATTACAATTCTGCTTGTTCATTCGTTAGTTAGTAAGTTAGCACATACGTTGCTCACTGCCATTGCCTCAGATTAATAATGGACCATTCTATTTTGTCCGAGAAGAAAAATTGAAGAAAAAATACAGTAGGAGTAATTATATTATTAATATTGTTGTTTGTAATAATCAATTTATAATTCTGCTTATCTCTCCATCAGTTAGTCAGTTGTTTAGCGCATGCGTTACGAGCTGCCATTACCTCAGATAAATAATGGACCACCGTTTGATTGCGAGACGTTAACTCTTTGAGCCCTGGGTTCCTGAAAAAAATTAATATTTGTGCCGGAGTTCCTGTTGACAAAATTCGTAAATAATTGGTATGTCATGTTTCACGGTAGATATAAAAATAGTTACAAGCGTTTACCCATCGTTCAGCCGGTGGCTGAGCATTTAGTCATTTTTCTCTACCACTGTTCAACCGGTGGCTGCTCATTACGTCATTTTCTCTACCACCGGTAAAGCGGTGGTAAAGAAAAGCGGTGGTTAATCCTTCATTAACTTTAAATGTTTATTTTTAAAACATAATTCCATTTACCAATGTACTACGCATAGCCTCGATGTGGCACAAAGCCGAAAGTATGGGGCACCCAGTGAGGTTCAAACGCACTACTCAATTGTAAATGCTCTAGCAGAAAAAAACCTGCTAACCATTACATCACGTTCAAGTAGCCATCTTATGTTTCCTATTAAGATATCTTAATTTATAAACAAGTCTTTGTTTTAAACTTTTCCTTTTCAATTTAATTTAAATTTTTACCAATGTTTCTGTTGTATCGTCAAGGCGAATGTTACACAGAGAAGAATGAGTGCTTAATATATTTATTCAGTACCAGCATCCGGTGCTAATCGATACATACAAAAAACACAGAACAATAAATTACAAAACAATTAACAAGACAACTTACAAGGAATAGAGAAGGGTCAAATGCTGTATAGCCAAACAAAGATCAGTCTGAATATTAATCAGCTTAGTATCAATTTATTAATCAACTGTTGAAGTCCTTAATCATAGACTACTTAAGGCTCTGAGCCAGGCCATCTGGTAGAGTGCTGAAGGGGTGATAGCTACTCTACAACAGTTTCTTAAAAACATAATTAAATGACGCAGACTTTATCTATGTAAATAAATAAAAACGCATTTAATGTGTTGTTAAAAGTTTGCCTTTTTTGTATTTGTGTTTTTACATAAAGTAGAAAAATAACTTAATAATAATTTTTGGAAAATCGTCATTTATTAAACAGTGTGGAATATTCTATGAATCATTCTGTCATTATTCCTTTATTAAATTTACCACAATTCATTTTTGAAAAAATCATAGCGTGACGTCGTGCTTAAATTGGAAATGCTAAAATGTTGGCGTACATTTTGATGCATTTTCTGATACTAACCATTAAATATGTTTTAATTTACAAATATTTTTGCTTATAAAGGGTGCTCTGATAAATTGGGCCGATTTTGATGTGAATTAAGTTTAAGGGTTTAATGATTTTTTTTCTTTTTTTTTTCAGATTTAACAACTTAAGTCTTTGGCAATTTCAACCATGGAAGGATTAACAATCAAACAACGTGTTAAAGTTATCGAATCCTATTCCGAAAATAGACGTTAAAACAGAATTTGAATGAGAAGTTCTTTGGTTGCATCACCTCTCGAAACAGCGAAGTCAATTGGCCACCATAATCATGTGACTTGACGCCTTTAGATTTCTTCCTTTGGGATCATCTCAAAAGTAAGGTCTATGCCAACAAGCCAACAACAATTCAACAGCTGAAGGATGAGATAATAAGGCATAATGGTGAGATCGACGAGCAACTATGCAGAGACGTCATCAAAAATTTAGACCATCGAGTGAAGGTGTGCCGCCGAATCTTTGGCGGACATTTGGGCGATATTATTTTTCACACATAATTGCCATGACTTAAATAACATGATCCAATAGAGAAATAAACAAATTTTCACTCATAACACTGGTTAACTTTGATCCGTTTTAATGAAACACCCTGATATTTAATCCGTTTTAATGAAACACCCTTTATAAAGACTACAGAAATGAATTGATTATTATTTCTTTGGAAAATACTAATTCATAACAAATATGGTTTTACGGGTTTAACTATTGGTAATTTTAGAGTTTAAGCCAGATGCGCAGAAGAATGACTTTTAATGTATTATAACGTTGGGGTGAAATGATTATCTATCTATTTATCTATCGTAAAGGTAAAATAAAATCCGTTGGTATACTAATATAAGAATATTAAAATTGATCCACAAAAGAGAGATCTATGTGTTTTATTTATACATTGCAATATGATAAACAAAGAAAAAAATTCTTTTTAACTCATATAGAAAATAAACTATTTCGGCAGATGATAATAGCGATCGTAGATCTTCTCAACCCATATATGAAATGTAATTCACATCCGTATCATTATATATATATATATATATATATATATATATATGTACTTTATTTTAGGATATTACATCAAAACCACGTAAAAAAAGCGTTTCATCAAGCGTTAGTAGAACTAACATCTGATGATATGCGTCGATTCGCATCGAAACACGACTGCAATTGTGTAGCGTTTTTGACATGTCTTTGATGTAATATCGTAAAATGAAAAATATTGCTCTACTTGTATTGAGCCCTCTTTTAAATTAAATGTTACGAACGTTGAAAATGGACTCTGTTCGTTCTCATATATATATATATATATATATATATATATATATATTCTGCTGCAAATACGATGGGATACTGAAAAGTTATAGGATGCGCAGATAATGAATGATCTAGGGGGGAGAAGAGGCGGATTCATCACTTTTCATGTGGCATTACTGCGAAAGTGAATGCAGCTGACTACATTACTCGTTCTCCCATATTATGTTCGGAAGAATCCGTAAAATATATACAGAGCGTATCAAAAATACTTGCTTAGTCACATTGTTCGCGATGCACTGGCTGATATTCACCATGAAAAAATGTATAAGTAAGGATGGACCGGTTCCATGGCCTACACCTTTCCCCGAACGTTATCTGTGAGGCCACCTAAAATAATTGGTTTATCCAGCAGTCATTAATAATGCAAAGACGTTTCGAAATCATTTGCTACCGTTCGGGAGAATTCCAAAGGGTCCGCCAGTCAATGATCCGACGGGTGCATGCATGTGTAGAAGCAAGCGGAAGACATTTTGAACATTTGTTATGAGTTTCTCCATTGAGGCAGAACAATGGCCTTTTGGACATATGTTTATATGGGCATTTTACCTCGCTTTGGTGTCAGGAACCCTCACCCAAAGTTTACAAAAGTATTTTGGGATTGTATATTTAACAGTCACTGCCGTAAATTTAAAAGGTAACTCAAAAACGAAGGATTTGCTGACACATGAAGCTACCTCAAACATAATATATATATATATATATATATATATATATATATATATATATATATATATATATATATATATATATCCCAATGAGGATGTAATCCAGAGAGAAAATTTTAGTCTTTTATGCTTGGAAATGTGAATTAAGGAACCAGGAAAAATCCTTTTCTGGGGGAAATAATATATAATCAATGGACGCTTAAGGTTGTCTGTATTTTAATTCAACAAATATTCCCTCTGTTTTTACATTGAGGTCTCTGGATTACATTCTCCTTGGGATTATCCATAGGGATTACCAAACATTTAATATATATATATATATATATATATATATATATATATATATATATATATATATATATATATATATATATATATATATATTAATATTAATGAAGTAAGTATTTTTCAGTGACGTCAGTTCAAGTTGTGCTGGCCCTCTCATTAGACTGGTCAAGAATTCAAGGACCCACCAACATCTGAAAGTACAGCAATATTAAAATTTGAATTGACTCATTTGTAACTAAAATTATCCCAGTTTTATTTCCAAATCAATACATGAGATCCAGAGTACGAAAAAGAAATCCAATACACACACAGACACATATTGCATTTCAGCACCCCCCCTTTCGCATACATGAATAGTTGCTTCGATAAAAAACATTAATAGTCTGAAGAGGTTTTTTTCTATAAACGAAACTCATCACGTTGAAGTTTTTTCTGTTTTGTTCTTTTATTCAATATAATTATTTTATCCAATATAATTAGTTTATTAGAAGAATAATTATATATAAATATAAATCTTATTAGGAGAATAATAATTAATTTGGCAAGGACAACAGTTTTAAAGAAATATTCATATAACACTAGGACAGTATCTTGAAATCTACAGCCAATC